AAGTATGCTTTAATCTCTGTAAAGTATTGAAAAAATATAATTATCAAGTATCTCAACACGTTCCTTATTGACACATATTCTACATGTACACGTAGTGGTTTTGCCATACAGTTTATTGTGTGTGATGGTTAATATGACTTCCTAAATGTTAGCGTTTGGAGACAGTGAAAGTGGGAAAGAGAGTATACATAGATTTATATTCATGGTCTAGAAAAAAAATGGCCAAAGACATTGAGTTGTTTAATGTAATAAATAAATTCACAAACGTTTCCTTTTTATATTCGCGTGTAGTTTGTCATTGCATATATGCACTTTATGTAAACATTTGAAAAGGGATATTCGTCTCGTGAATATTCCTTTTTACAGAAAGGTTTGTCCCATTGTTGAGGGAGTGTTTAGCCCCGTACCACCTGTACCGGTCACGGGAGAAGGCTGTGATAAATTGTAAAAACTTGTGCCCCATCCTTTGTTTAATTTTATTGGCAACAAATTTATGTTAAAAGCTAAATAAATTTAAATTCTTAATATTGGCAAGTGTGCAATTAACTTCTGATGATGAATAATTACTGTTCAATAAGTTTGAATACGGAATTAGAAATCATATAACTTGGTTTCATAGTGCGGTAAGAAGTTGCAGTTGCCTGACGGCCCCTCTCTGAGGGCCCCTTTGTAAACCGTTTCATCTCGCTCGCACCACTTGTGTTTGCTGCCTAATCAGGTGACGTTATCGGCGCTATTTTTAGCCGGGCTTTCCCGAACAATTCAAGTGGTCAAACTGGACATTTGGAACGGACTATGAATATGGGGATAGCGAGGTAACATAAGTGGAAGTGCATACAATACATACATTCATTAAAAAAAACCGCCTTTTCACGTGATGTCCCTTTAATTCGTTGCAATTCTTTTATCAAATATTTCTCACACCCGATAACAAAATCAAATAACACAAATATATCTTATACCCGATAAAAAAAATCAAATAACACAAATATAGGTCTCATAATTATATTTATAAGATATAATTTAGTGCAGTTCCTTAATATTCTATAGGTATATTTAAACTCTATGTATTCTATACTTTAAGAGGCATAATTCCAAAAGATATCCTACCTACAAAATGTAAATGACGGTAATAGTGAAAAAGAAGGAGACTGTGAGACAGACAGTCTCTTGAAGACTTTCACTAACTGAGAGCTGATTGATTGATTGATGGGGCTAGCTCACCGACTTATATGCAAGAGTACGGGTCATTACTCGGATAGCTTCGGGCGCTTCCTATATATCCAATACAGAGGTAGAGGTGTTCCGAACAGGGGTACAAGAATTGTTATCGCATGGGGGTGCATTACGAGAAACTTATCAAACGGGTGACCGGAAGTGGTATCAGGAGTGGTCAGAAGTTATCAAATATGCAAAAACACTCATATTCTGAGTAAAGATATGATAAATATGTATATAATATAGGGGGTCTGCTACATATGTATATAATATAGGGGGTCTGCTACATAGGTATATAATATAGGGGGTCTGATACATATGTATATAATATAGGGGGTCTGATACATAGGTATATAATATAGGGGGTCTGATACTTAGGTATATGATATAGGGGGTCTGATACTTAGGTATATAATATAGGGGGTCTGATACTTTAAAAAAAATATTTAAGGAATAATCTATTTTAAAATAAAATAATTGTCTATTTAATTGATAGCATTCCAAGATTCTTGTTTATATTTACTTGCGGTTTATATTTTCACACCATTTCGCGGTCTTGCGGCGGGTGTTTACTTTACAATATAAGTTTAATACACATTCGTTATATTTTTGCCGAACTCGCAGAAACCGCAATTGTAAAAACGTTGCAACATTTTCATGTAATGTTACAAAATTAAACAAGGATGTTTTTTTTGTGCGTTATGATTGATTATACTCACAATATTTCCATGAATAACTTGAATAATAGAGGCCTTAGTGAAGTTATAGTAATTATATATATACATTTGACTTGAGACATATTTTGATAAACGTGACTAACACATGTAATTCCTCTTCCATTTACTTCCACAAGATAAAGAATCTGATTCATCTCCGTCAATAAATGCCTGCATGGAAACGCTTTTCGAAAGTTCGTTTTCAGTGTCTGAATCCAATATGACAGTACTTCCGGAAAAGGGGCCATTTGATTCTGTTGAATCAGATTTGTTAGCAAGTTCATTTGGAACATCATATATTGGATCATTGTTAGTGTTTATGTATTCACTTACGGCCGGTTGGTCAGTTTGGCATTCGGAGTCCCTCCTGGTGGAACCATTCAAACTTGTAGTACTGCCGGTAGATGTAACGGTTGCGTGATTTGCTTTGGTCAAACGAACATTGCTATACTGCTTGATAGGAATGGACGATTCTGCAGCTTTTTCGATATCTTTTGTTTGTTTTCTTCTGTTCTCACGTGTAACTTTTGTTTTGCTCATTTGCCACTCTTTGTAAGCTATCTGAAATGCTCGTGACAATACAAGTGCCATGGTCTTGGCCTTCTCTTTACTGCTACACAACACAGCGTGACAGATGAGACTCGGGCACGATTCATTTTTACAAATCCACGTGAAGATCCGCTCATTCAGAATGCAATCTGCATTGCAGAATGATATGTTTTCTATGCTGAACAGTCTGCCATGTGCACCTTTACCCTTTCCATCCATATCCTCCAAGAGTATACCATTGGTGTTTATCTGAACTGTAGTTCGCTTCAGGGATTTTTCCTCTCCAGCGTTATCCCATAGTTTCTGAACAGGACCATTAGTACAGCCCTTCCCTGTGGCCACAAACGTTTCCGTGCATCCGATATATCGTACTTTGAACACAGGATCCCTCTCCGTTATTTTAGCTCTCACCTTTAACGAACTGAACATTGTGGCGAATTAAGTATGCACGACTTGTCCCGACAGCTCACGTACCGTGAAATACAGATATACTTAATCAATCACCGAAGCTGCTAAAATAACAAGACCACCTCACGTTAAACACTTATATATCCCGTTTGTCAGATTTCTATTGGTACGACTTTCTAAAAATAAATGCTACCATAAATTACAGACATTTTTTGACATTCCAGCCGTGCTTCTTTTGCATTATCGCCGGTCACTCAACATATACTCCACCAGACGGTAACCGTGTTGTTTAGCATGTCAAGTTCCTACTGAGAATGACAGGTCCAAACTTGAGTATTCTAGCACCCACTCTTCAGAATTTGGCAGATAAGATAATATTAAAATCACCGGAAGATATCACCTCACGATACACACATATGACAGACCATGGTCTATTTACGTACATACGTCTTTCTTCGCAGTCAGATGAAATCGATTCCGAGTCGGTAGAGCGTCACGTGACTTGTGTTATCTCGGGGTTTCGTCTACACCTTCATTACAGGTATGTTATATGAACTAGGAGGTAAAATCAAGCAAAGCCTGGCACTAGCTATAATGCACGCTCCGGGAATGGAGTGGAAAACAGTGTTTGTAGGTTAATGTTTAGATGGAACGTCAGATCTATGACGGAAATTATCATCATTATTTATTGATTTATATTGATCCGCTATTAATTTCGATGGTCGTTGATAATTATTGAAATATATTTCTTTAAAACGCTGCATTTATATAGTTCCCCCTTCATTCACTGAACAGCTCCCCGAACCCTTTTTAGCTCACCTGGTCCGAAGGACCATGGTGAGCGTATGCCATATCGCAGCGTCCGTCGTCCGTCCGTCCTTTAAAACGCTACTAGTCCTAAACGGCCAAATAGATTTTGGTCTGGAGCATCCTCGTGCATAAGGGGACTCAATTTTGTGTAAACGGTGGGTGTGGTCCCTCTGCGGGCAGAGGGGTGGAGCCGAATAGGGGAAATTGAGGTAAAAGCTTGAAAGTCCTTCCTTTACCGTAGGGATGAAGGGATTTTATCCTAATTTAGTCTGGAGTATCCTTGGGCAAAAGGGACTCAATTTTGTATTAACAGTGAGTGTGCCCCCCTGGGGGCAAAGGGGCGGGGCCCAATAGGGAAAATAGGGCAAATTCTTCAAAATCCTTCTCCTTCTGTAGGAACAACAGATTTGTGTCCAAATTTGGTATGAAGTACCCTTTGGTGAAGAGTAACCAACATTGTATGAACAGTTGGCCTGATCCCCCTGGGGGCAGAGAGGCGAACCCAATAAGGGATATCGAGGAATAGCTTTACTATACCTTTTCTTCCTTTGGGATGAAAGCATTTTGACCAAATTTGAACAGTAGCATCCAATGATGAAGGGAAATCAATTTTGTATAAATGGTGGGTCTGACCCCCCTGGGGCCTGTGGGGTGGGTCCCAATAGGGGTGATTTAGCAAATTCTTTAAAATTCTTCTCCCTCTGTAGGAATGCCAGAATTTTGTCAGTATTTGGTCTGAAGCATCCTTTGGTGAAGGGGAACCAATTTTGTATAAACTGTGGGTTTTAACCCCCTGGGGCAGAGGGGCGGGGCCAAATAGGGAAAATAGAAAAATAGCTTTAAAATCCTTCTTCTTCTGTAGGAATGACAGAATTATGTCCATTTTTGGTCTAAAGCATCTTTGGGTGAAGGGGAACTAATTTTGTATCAACGGTGGGTATGGTCCCCCTGAGGGCAAAGGGGCGGGGCCCAATAGTAGAAACCTAGCAAATCTTCAAAATCTTCCTTTTCCTGTAGGAATGACAGTGTTTTGTCCAATTGCATATAAATATAATCCCTGACTTACCATGTAATACATGTACAGCAATATTTGGCTATTTCATCTTCAATTTTGCTGACATTTCCAGATTCTGTCGTAGGAATGAAAGGATTTTGTCCAAATTTGGGACGAATCACCCTTGTGTGAAAGGGAACCAATTTTGTATAAACTGTGGTTTTTACCCCCCTGGGCAGAGGGGCGGGGCCAAATAGGGAAAATAGAAAAATAGCTTTAAAACCCTTCTTCTTCTGTAGGAATGACAGAATTATGTCCATTTTTGGTCTAAAGCATCCTTGGGTGAAGGGGAACTAATTTTGTATCAACGGTGGGTATGGTCCCCCTGAGGGCAAAGGGGCGGGGCCCAATAGTAGAAACCTAGCAAATCTTCAAAATCCTCCTTTTCCTGTAGGAATGACAGGGTTTTGTCCAATTGTATATAAATATACTCCCTGACTTACCTTGTAATACATGTACAGAAATATTTGGTTATTTCATCTTCAATTTTGCTAACATTTCCAGATGAGCGATACAGGCCCTCTGGGCCTCTTTTGAGTACAGTTATCTCAGAATAATTCTCATCATTATCCTCCATTCATCCTTATCAACCTTAACTCATCATTATAATAATCATCACTATCAACTTTTGATCATTTTCATCAATCATCATCATCGAGAACACTATAATTTGAGAACAAGCAAAGAAGAATTACAGACAGACAGATAGACAGACAGATAGACAGACAGACGTATTAATAATGAGCTTTCATGTTTAATTATCATTCCTCAACATGCTAACATTTTAAAAAGCTTATCTTTTTTATTCTGAATCAGGAAATATCTTTTCTGGCTTTGCCTTTTCATATTAGCTTTGACAATCAGCGACAAGAGAATGATTTAGCATCAGATATATTACAAAACGAAGAAAATACCTTTTCTAACCTGAACGAATAATCGTATTGTAGTTAACCATGACGTAAAGTAGTCGAATGTTAGTAAACCAAGATATCAGGTAGTCGTATGGTAGAAAACAATGATGTCAGGTAGTCGTATGGTAGTACACAATGACGTCAGGTAGTCGTATGGTAGTAAACCATGAAGTCAGGTAGTCGTATGGTAGAAAACCATGATGTCAGATGGTCGTATGGTAGAAAACCATGATGTCAGGTAGTTGTATGGTAGAAAACAATGATGTCAGGTGGTCGTGTGATAGTAAACCATGACATCAGGTAGTCGTGTGATAGTAAACAATGGCATCAGGTAGTTGTGTGATAGTAAACAATGACATCAGGTAGTCGTACAGTAGAATATAATGACATCAGGTAGTCGTATGGAAGTAAACAATTACATCAAATAGTCGCACAGAAGAATAAAATGACATCAGATAATCGTATGTAAGTACACAATGATGTCAGGAAGGTGTATGGTAGTAATCAATGATGTCAGGTAGCCGTATGGTAGTAAACAATGATGTCAGGTAGTCGTATGGTAGTTCACGATGATGTCAGGTAGTCGTATGGTAGTTAACGATGATGTCAGGTAGCCAAATGGGAGTAAACTATGATGTCAGGTAGTCGTATTGTAGTAAACCATGATGTCAGGTAGTCGTATTGTAGTAAACCATGATGTCAGGTAGTCGTATTGTAGTAAACCATGATGTCAGGTAGCTGTATTGTAGTTATAGTAATTATATATATACATTTGACTTGAGACATATTTTGATAAACGTGACTAACACATGTAATTCCTTTTCCATTTACTTCCACAAGATAAAGAATCTGATTCATCTCCGTCAATAAATGCCTGCATGGAAAAGCTTTTCGAAAGTTCGTTTTCAGTGTCTGAATCCAATATGACAGTACTTCCGGAAAAGGGGCCATTTGATTCTGTTGAATCAGATTTGTTAGCAAGTTCATTTGGAACATCATATATTGGATCATTGTTAGTGTTTATGTATTCACTTACGGCCGGTTGTTCAGTTTGGCATTCGGAGTCGCTCCTGGTGGAACCATTCAAACTTGTAGTACTGCCGGTAGATGTAACGGTTGCGTGATTTGCTTTGGTCAAACGAACATTGCTATACTGCTTGATAGGAATGGACGATTCTGCAGCTTTTTCGATATCTTTTGTTTGTTTTCTTCTGTTCTCACGTGTAACTTTTGTTTTGCTCATTTGCCACTCTTTGTAAGCTATCTGAAATGCTCGTGACAATACAAGTGCCATGGTCTTGGCCTTCTCTTCACTGCTACACAACACAGCGTGACAGATGAGACTCGGGCACGATGCATTTTTACAAATCCACGTGAAGATCCGCTCATTCAGAATGCAATCTGCATTGCAGAATGATATATTTTCTATGCTGAACAGTCTGCCATGTGCACCTTTACCCTTTCCATCCATATCCTCCAAGAGTATACCATTGGTGTTTATCTGAACTGTAGTTCGCTTCAGGGATTTTTCCTCTCCAGCGTTATCCCATAGTTTCTGAACAGGACCATTAGTACAGCCCTTCCCTGTGGCCACAAACGTTTCCGTGCATCCGATATATCGTACTTTGAACACAGGATCCTTCTCCGTTATTTTAGCTCTCACCTTTAACGAACTGAACATTGTGGCGAATTAAGTATGCACGACTTGTCCCGACAGCTCACGTACCGTGAAATACAGATATACTTAATCAATCACCGAAGCTGCTAAAATAACAAGACCACCTCACGTTAAACACTTATATATCCCGTTTGTCAGATTTCTATTGGTACGACTTTCTAAAAATAAATGCTACCATAAATTACAGACATTTTTTGACATTCCAGTCGTGCTTCTTTTGCATTATCGCCGGTCACTCAACATGTGATGTCAGGTAGCCGTATGGTAGTAAACAATGATGTCAGGTAGTCGTATGGTAGTTAACGATGATGTCAGGTAGCCAAATGGGAGTAAACCATGATGTCAGGTAGTGGTATTGTAGTAAACCATGATGTCAGGTAGCTGTATGGTAGTAAACCATGTCAGATAGTCGTATGGTAGTAAACCATGATGTCAGGCAGCTGTATTGTAGTAAACCATGATGTCAGGTAGCCGTATGGTAGTAAACCATGATATCAGGTAGTCGTATTGTAGTAAACCATGATGTCAGGTAGCTGTATTGTAGTAAACCATGA